GCTAGAAAAGGTCCTTATACTGAGCTAAAGCCAGAGCCATATAGCCCTCACAGCTGTACTTTAAGTCCCAGATGATCACTTACAAATAAGTCCTTAGGGAGAGGAATCTAGAGCACTATAAAACAGCCAAATGCTCTAGCCCCCTGATTCCATGTTGCTAAAAAGCATCTTTTAGTGTTTATTGCATATACCATTAGTCAAGTTACAAGATCATGGTTGTAGTTGAGCACTAGCATCAAACTACCCAATGCAATACCCCATAGGTAACGAGGCACAAGGTAACAAAGCACTAGGAAATCCTTAGTGGCAGTCAAGGTAGACACATGTAGTATGAATTAAATGATTAAAGGTGAATAGGACAACAAGGAAGATCCCATGCTATACTTGCCTTAAACTTAGATCCTTCTTCAAGTCCAAAACTTCAAAGATCTGCTTCTTAATTCACGACGCATATCTCACCGACTGGACGAAATCATAAAGCACCACACAAGCATCCATGCAATTATACACGAAGCAAACAATAGATCTAAATTAGAACAGTACACCAAACATAAAATCAAGATGAAAAGTTTGTAAAATGAATCTACCTCTCGCTACGAACACACAGACATGAAAAGCACTCTAATCGGAGCTACGGTGAAAAAAGATATATTTACCAAAAGATTTGCTCATAGGAGAAAATATAAAACTACTAGCTTCATGTGTTTTAATTATATAAAAACATATATAAGATATTTTATAGAGATTATAATTTAAGTCAAGTTTAGATTTGAATTATAAAACTAAAGTGAAACAAATCATATTTTATTTATAAAATCTAGTTGCATAATTGTTATTTAAGATATGATTCAAACCATGAAATTCCCATATTAGTGACATGATAAACACTGTTACTAACACGTAGATCTCGTCGCTATGAATCTAACGCAACTTGAACGGGCTAAAACGGAGTTAAAATGCAGAAGATATGAAATGAACAAGATTTTCTTTATTAAAAGAATAGATTAAATCTAACCTCAAATTTTAAAAGTTGAAAAACATCTAACAGTGATATAAACACGTAGACAACATAAATATGAACCCAACGCAATTTGAATGGGTCAAATCGAGTTAAAACGAAAAAGTTATGGCCTAAACAAATCTAGTGGCAAAGCTTTGAATAGCTAAAACGTATTTTCAATCTAACCAAAGCAAAGTACGTTTTCAAAAAAAGAAAACAAAATACAAAAAGATGCAATGGACCGTGGGTTCTATTTTAGAAAACTGAAGGGGCTCTTTTAGAAATTATGCCAGGCAAAGGGGTAACATGCAATCCCGACCATCGGATCAATTTTGGACGGCTGACAATAAAAGCAAGGGAGAGAGAGAATACACGCCGGCCGGAAAGAAAAGACGGCGGCAGTGGTGGCCATTGCGGTGGTAGAGCTTCGCCGGAACAGTGATTCTGACGTCGATTGCTTCAACGATAGGCTTGGGGAGGTGGAGAAAAGAACAGCGAGCTCACCTAACTGCTTCTCGTGGAGGAGTGCGGGTCCGTGGCGGCGTGGAGAGGACCGAGGTAGTTCGGTGGCATCAAGCTTCATGCGGCGGGATCCGTCGATGGCGCAAGGCTGGCTCGGCCAAGGGCGGTGCGAGATGGGGCTCAGGGTAGGTGGCATGGCGCAGAGGCTTGCTACTTATGGGGATGGCGAAGCCTGGACAGCAAGGCAACGAGCTCAGAAGGCAGCGTGGGCGGGACGGACACGGCCTCCTTCAGCGGAGCAGAGTCCGTTGCGGGGACGGCTCAAGGTGGGAGATGGTCCTGACGGGTGGGGCCAGTCTATCAGCGTCTGTGGGTGAGGTTCCGGGCAGTCAAGGGAAGTAAGAAAGAACGCGCGCGCAGGTGCCGAGCGGCTGGGGCCGAAGCTGGGCCGCGACTGCAGCCACGGGAGGGGCGAGAGAGAGAAGGGAGAAGGAAGGGAAGAGCGCAATGGGCCGGAAGAGAAGCTGGAGTGGGCTGAAGCCAGGGAGGGAAAGGCAAGCGCTGGGCCTGTGCAGCTGGGCTGCCACGGGGCATGGGCTGAAGACAGAGAGAGGGGGAGAGAGGGAGTTTTATTCTTTTCCTTTTCTATTTCTTTTCTTAGTTCAAATCCCAATTTGAAATATGGTTTAAATTTCTTTGAACCAAATAAGTTAAATATTAATTCAAATATTCTTTTCAATTCAAATAAAAATGGAAAATTTTAGTAGGCTTTCAAAAATAAAATTTATAACTTTTTAAATTCTTTCATTTCCCAATTCCCTTTTATTTCAAAGCCATTTTTAATTTATTTTTCAAAAGCATTTTAAATTCATTTTGAATTTTGGATTCAACCACTCATTACAATAAATCAAATGCACTGGCATGTATGCACAATCATGTTGCTACCTTACGATGAATTTTAATTTAATAAAAAAATTTATTTTTCTATATTTCATGAGCACAAAATTCGGAAATAAATCATTTTAAACCTATTTTCAAAAGAGGCAAATTTTAGGGTGTTACAATTCTACCTAGGAGACGTCGAAAAGGAGATAGAATACTCTGTCTTTGAATCCTTCTTTACTTCCTGACGTAGTTCCATCGTCTTAATAATGATCCCACTTCACTTTGCATACCTGTTAATCTTACTCCAAGTAACTTGCCAAACTAATTCCAAGATTCTGACAGGTACTCCAAACAACTCTCAGGTATCTCCAATCATTAGGCACCTTTCCTATAATACCAATTCTCTGCCTTAAAATATCCACCTTCCAACAAAGCCTGATGATTCTCTTGGTCAGAAGGAGAATCTACCACCATTCTTCAAAACATTAATGATTCCAATCAAGTTGCTCAAACTTGGAATATAATTCTTAGTCCTTGGTGTCACCTGAACCTTCTTAGCATGACTCTCCGTTGCTAACGGCATCGGTCGCGACTTTTACTTCTCTAGGTGTTAGCACTTTTCCAAGTCATAATCAATTTCATTCCAACGAAGATATCACAAGCTCAAGACCAACTTGGTGAAGATGTCCTATAGATTCTTGTGATCCTCCTAGATCCCACTTTTACTTCCAAAAAGACAGTACTTCCATGCTTCACAATGCATAACTCCAGATAACATGCTAGGTAGTTCATCTCACGCTTCCTTAGTTGACTTAATGAACAAGGTACTACATTTTTCTTCTTGACAAGGTGCATCCTTGTAGATATAAAGCTCTTGTCTAGATCTGGCAAAGCTAATACTTAGATTTTACTTCAACCTCTTCTTGGACTCTTTCAAACATTTACCTGAGGTCTCTTGATCCAAACTAACTTGAAAACTTCTCCGGTAGCTCTACCAAAATCATGATGATCTTGGATAAACCTTTGTTGAACCTTTAACCAAATCTCATTGAAACTCTAAGTTTCTCTCATATCTTTGAGTACCACCACGCTTCCATTGCAAAACTAGAACGTAGAACACTTCATCTTACAAATTCTTCAACTTGGCTACCCCCGTTAAGAAAAGATAAACTAGGGGACACCAAAGTATAGCTTGCACATTCTTTTAGGGTGCTACATCCCTCTCCCTCTCTATCTCTCCCACGCGGACCATGGGGCCGACGGCGGCCAACTCTCTCCTCCCGCGTTCGTAGAGACCACGAGGAGCATAGGGCGGTGGCCTCTCTCCTCCTACGCGCATGGTGGATCCCGATAGCCGGAGGAGCATGGCGGTGTGGATCCAGTCCGGCGGCCAAAGGAGCACAGGATGAGGGGCCAACACCAGATCCGGCGAGGAGGAACCCAATCTGGCGAGGAGCCTGGATCCAGCGAGAAGGAACCCGATCCGATGAGGAGGAGCTCGGATCTAGCAAGGAGGAGCCCGGATCCGGTGGGCTCGTGCAGTGGCGGGGCTCGGTGGCGAAGTAGGAAGGCGCCTCCTCTCGACGGGCGGGCCGGCGACGCTGGATGGATCCTCCTCCCGGCGGGTGGATCTGGCGAGCTGCAGTGCAGATCTGGCGAGCAGAGTGGTGGCACGGGGATGGGCTCGGCAGGCCCTTGGATGGACTCGCTGGGCTTGTCCACGGGTTTTAATTTATTTTTTTTTTGTTTTTTGATTTACCGAGGCGGGCATTTGAAACGCCTCGGGAAAGATCGATTAAGTGTGACCTATAGTCCAAGCCGGTTGTGATGCCCGCTCGGTTAACCTATTTTGCCCACCTCCAAAAAAGTTTATGTAGTAGTGATGGCTGGCACCGGTGTTTGGTGAGTTCGTATGGTGTGCTTCAGAAACTGCAAATGTATAGTGGTATATATCTAATTAATAACTAAATGTATATTGGAAAAATATGGAATTGCCAAGCAAATTAGAAAAAACAGTAAATATGGAGCAAAAAGCATATAGACCAGTAATTGATGAGTTAAACGCGGGATATACTAAAATTAGCAAATTCATCGATGTTATTCTCTTTTCTGTACATGCATATTCCATCGAGGGTATGACATTTCGTTCTATTTCCAGAACGATCTCAGTTGACCATTAAAAACTTTGATAGACACAAATATTTGAATTGGCCACATAAATTTTGATTTAGCTGACGAATCATCAAAATTTCTTGAACATCACAGCATATTGAATATTTTCCAAACACATCATAAGAAATGCCACTGGGGCCATCGATCTAATATGTTGATTGACCCTTACCTGTTTTCTTGGGGTGATGACCTATCAAAGATAAATTTCTTTATAATTAGTTTTAAAGAAAATATTATTATTCTGAATGTAAAAAAAGAACCTGATGATGTAGAGGAAAAGAGCAGTAAATAATATTAATGATGGCCAAAGGTTCTTTCACCAAGAACTTCATCCCTGGATACATCTGAGTGACTTATTATCACACATAGGATATGTTTTAATTTATTGTTTAATATTGAGCGTACGCTCAGTACAATTACACGGTATTTCACAACCCCAGAGATTATTTAGATAGGTCTAAACCCAGATGATACAGGGGACTTAAGAACCTGCTGATGCAACATACCGTTTGCAAGGATTGGAGGTCATTTTGCAGCAGATATCTCTACTATCCCAGGTGCGGGCCCTCACCGTCAGCTTCCTTCCAAGATTTATGCCCTTGGTAAAACCGGTTCCTTCATTGGTTCCATATGAATTTGCCAGCAAGGTGGTTTCGTGGGCCTTGGTTCCAAGAAAACTTGCATGATCAAAGTATCCAATAGTGCACATCATATTGATCAAAATGAGCAGTGCCACCGTTGTAGGCTTCATCTGCGTATATGTTAGATGGATGTGTACGTGTTAGGCTTCAATTTCTGATGACACAATAAAAGGGAATTGTATATTGAATCCTACCAGAACAAAATAAAACCGATGAGCTAACAGAAATAAAAACACTCACCGCTGATAGCTGATTAGTTGAGGGCTTGTGTTGTTGATAATTGAAGATACACTTGGGCACGCTATATATAGCCATATTAATAGAAAAGTAGCTGTCTAGGTGAATATGACAGCTCATGATATTGTGCAACTAGGGTTGGGGAGCTGCAAGCCATTACGTGATAACAGGTCTTGCATTGGCGCATTATGTTGCACTACTACAGAACCATCCAGTACTGGTGGTTCCAAACCACAACTATTGCAAGAATTGGTGTCGGCGGTGGGCAAACAGTGCTGATGACTCCTACTGCTGCTAGGTCATAAAGCAACAGTGTCAAAGGCTACCACTCATGGTTCAAGGTACCAACTGGTAATGAGAACCATTATCACTAGTACAGAAATGATTTTTGCTAACTGTCAATAATGATATTAAAGGCTGGTTTAAAACTACCACTATGCCACCGATTATCGCCCTGTTCGCTTGGCTTATAAGTCGTACTTTTTTAGCCAACGAACAGTATTTTTCTCTCACAACAAATTAGCCAACAGTACTTTCAGCCATGGCTTATCAGCCAAGCAAACAGGGCATATAAAGATAGGGCCTTTGCAGTGTCGGGCATTTAACCATCCCTGGAAAAGCCTTTTTAGGGCAGTTTCGTTAAGAAATCCACACCCTAAAATACCTTTTTTAGGGGCAGCTGCTTTATGACAACCGCCCTTGAAAGTCCTTAATTTTAAAAGTAGAAAAGGAGTAATAAGAAAACATACAATAAACACAAGACTTTCATCTTAACTTGATGATTAATAAATATGTAGCATTCAGTAAGACTAATATTTGTAAACCAAAATTTAGATTCATGATGTTATAAGATATAGATTGGAACAAGAGCCACCATAGTTGAAGCTAAGGTCTCAACTAAATGTATATGAGGATATATAGAGATTGCCAAGCAAATGGGAGAAAACAATAAATATCAATGAAAAAAAATATAAATCAGTAATTGATCAGTTTATCACAACCCGACATAGACAAAAGAGTATCCATTATGCCTACTGTGTCAGATAATAAACGAAAAGAAAGTAATGTACAATTAATATAATTAGTTTTCATTAGTCAAAGATACTAAACAATAACTAATACTTCTGTCTTCAAAGATTCTCGCCCATGCCCTCGCATGGGTTGATGGTCTAGTTTTATTATAAACTAAATTGGATGTCCTGATGTATTTTTACCATCAGATGACCGGCTTTAGTTCTTTTCGTTCACATGATATGGTAGGGCACACATACATCTAAACACAAAAATGGAGGAACCAGTAAATCATAGCCTAAAAGTAACTGTAAATGTGCTAAACCAAATTGTATATCACGAAACTGTAAGTGATTAGTGATTATTCTCTCTTTTGAAAAAGAAACATGGGACTTCGTTAACGAGGGATAAACTGAATAGAAAACTCATCGATGTTATTCTCCTTTCTGTACATGCAAGTTCCTTTGAGGGTACGTCATTTCCCTCTATTTCCAGAACTATGCCTGCAAGGGTGGCAGATCGACCCCTTCGGATCTCCGACCCGCTCCTAAATTTAGACCACGGTTCTATAACACGCCAGCCCATTAGTAGTCTATAGTAGTTGTATTTTTGGCCCATGTGGCACATGGCACATGAAGAGCTATAGTTTGTGGCTTTAGTACCACCTTAGAAGTTTAGGAGGGTGAGGGCTAACTTATAATCCTTGTTGCTCCAAACGTAGCTTCTTTGGGCTAACACTTTTACATGAAGCGAGGATGAAGGTGTAACAGAGGTATGCAAACCCATTCCACATGTGGAGCTGGGCCATATAAGTAGATTTTGGACGTGGTGTGTTAGAGATGGTATCAAAGCATAAACCCTTGTTGCATGTGCTCATGGAGGGGTGTACCAAGGCATGTTCTCGGCATCTACTGTGTATATAGTGAGCTACCGAGGGCGTCCCCCTTTATGGGGGTGAATGTAACAACCCAGCCCGATTAGAGGATTGTAGTTGTTCTGTTGTTCATCCGTGTGGCCCATGTGGCACATGAGGAGCTGTAGTTGGTGGCTTTAGTACCACATTGGAAGTTTAGGAGGGTGAGGGCCAGCTTATAATCCTTGTCGCTCCAAACTCAACACTTTTGAGTTAAGCCTTTTACACGAAGTGAGAACAAAAGTATAAGAGACGTGCTACGCGTACGCAGACCCATTCAACATGCGGAGCTAGGCCATATAAGCATATTTTGGACGCGGGGTGTTATAGGTTTCAAGCGGTTTGAGTTAACCCTTTTACACTAAGTGAGGACAAAATAAGTATAAGAGATGTGTTATGCGTATGCAGGCCCATTCAATGGGCGGAGCTAGGCCATATAAGCAGATTTTGGACGCGTGGTGTTATAGGTTTCGAGCAGTTTGACCCTCACATGAAGAGGTTCAAAAGGATGAGAAACCTGTTGATACAAATCGAACCTAGGGTCACCCCGTTTAGTTCACAGTGTTCGCTCCCCTTTTATTATTCTGAATATAAAAAGAACGTGGTGCTGTAGAGGCAAAGGGCAATAAATACTATTAAAGATGGCCAAATGTTCTTTCACCAAGAACTTCATCCATGGATTTATCCGAGTGACTAATTATCACACACAGGACATCTTTTAATTTATTGTTTAATATTAAGCGTATGCTCAGTACAATTACACGGCATTTCATGACCCGAGAGATTATTTAGATCGGTCTAAACCCAGATGATGGTACAAGGGACTCAAGAACCTGCTGATGCAACATACCGTGTCTATATATGGGATATCCGTCCTCCATATGCATGGGAATGCAAGCATATATCTCTAAGGACAATCATATCTTACTTTGCAAGGACTGGAGCTCATTTTGCAGCATATATCTCTATTATCAAAGTTGCGGGCCATCAGCATCCTTCCAGGATTTATGCCCGTCGTAAAACTGGTTCCTTCATTGCTTCCGTACGAATTGCCAGTAAGGTGGTTTCTTGGGCCTTTGTTCCAATAGTGCACATCATGTTCATCAAAATGAGCAGTGCCACGGTTGTAGGCTTCATCTGCATGCGTATATGTTAGATGGATGTGTACGTGTTAGGCTTCAATTTCCAACACAATAAAAGGGAATTGTATATTGAATCCTACTGAACAAAATAAAACCGATGAGCCCACAAAAAGAAAAGGACTCACCCTGATAGTGTTGATAACTGAAGATACACATGGGCACGCTATATATAGACATATTAATAGAAGAGTCACTACGAAAAACAGGGGCTTTGCCGAGTGGTCGCCGTCAGACACTCGGCAAAGAATTTTTTAAATTTTTTTTAATTTTTGTTTATTTTCTTTGCCGAGTGCCCTGTCTCTGGCACTCGGCAAAGACCCCCTTTGCCGAGTGCCAGACCTGGCACTCGGCAAAGAAAAAAAAATTTTGCTCCCAGATTTTTTTCTTTAGGGTTGCTACAGTGCTTCAAAGTACATGTTAAAATTTGGTTGAATTTGGTGACTTTTTACTATATTTTTAGAATTGTGATATTCCACATTTATTTACTTATAACGCATCACATGTGACGAGATGTTCTGAACTATTTCTAAGCATCGAATATGACAACGCAGCATGAAACTTTTTCAAATTTTTACCATAGGCTCCATATGCTATATAACGATGCATCAACAAGTTTTGTGATTTTCTCAATTCGCTTGAATTTTATACAATTTAAAAACACTTTGGCCAAAACTTTTTCCTTGTATGTTTCGTTAAAATGTGAAAATATCCCGCAAGTTCCCGGATACTTGTCAAAACACACTTCATAGCATGATAAATCATTTTTCAATGATTAGATTTCATTATTCATGCACCTTGTCACTCAAACTTGCTTTTTAAGTAAATAAATCAACAAAACAAAATAATTCTAAAAATATAGTAAAAAGTCACCAAATTCAACCAAATTTTAACATGTACTTTGAAGCAATCAGAGCAACCCCTAAAGAAAAAATCTGAGAAAAAAAAATTTCTTTGCACTCGGCAAAGGGGTCTTTTGCCGAGTGCCGAGAGACAGGCACTCGGGAAGAAAAAACCTTTGCCGAGTGCCGGCCCGTGGCACTCTAAGCAAAGGACCTAACATCAAATTGGGCCACGGCCGGCCCACCCCAGCCAAACCCTATCCACACAACCGCACTGCACCACCACAGCACCTTACCCCGCGCTGGCGCTACCCACACGCCTTGGCAACGCCCATCCAGCCCTGCCGCCATCATCTTCATGCTGCCTGCTTATGCCAGCACCCACACACACACCTGTGACACACTTGGCCGACAACAAGCATCAAGCCCGCCACCCTCCCCACCGCCCGATTTGCGCCAAGCGCCAAGGTCTGCCCCTTCCTTCCCGCCAGCGACCGTGAGCGCCAGACCTGCCCCTCCGGGCCGCTGCCTTACCCTCTCCTCCCCCACCACGTCCCACCGAACGACCGGTGCAGAAGGAGGAAGAAGGGGGAGAGGAAGGAGGAAGGAGAGGAAGGAGGAAGAAGGAGGAAGGAGGTTGCCTTCCCGTTCCGTTCCCGGCACCATCTTCCCCGTGTTCCCGTCTCGTCGATGCCTCTACTGCTAAGGTATAATGATGTGCCATTGTGATTGTCGGCCTTCGAGTCGTTGTGATTGTCGGCCTTCGTGCCGTTGTTTTTTGCAGGTTTTGGAAACCTCCCCGTGCAGGGGAGGTGCTTCCAAAATTTAGACCCAAATCTATTTGTTTTTCATGCAGGTGAAGGAACTGTCTGAGTAGAGCCGGAGCACCTTGGCTACACCGATCGTCTTCCTCGGCGCTATGGTCTCGCCTCGCATCGCATCGCCTCACCATCGCACCCGACTCGCCA